CAACCTTCCGATTACAAGGCGAACTCCCAACTCTTGAGCCACGATCGCCTATGTATTTATATCACCTATAGCACAATCATTTGTACAAGACATTCATTCACAAAGAGATTGGTATACCAAGGTATAAAGTATACAAATATAAATATATTAATATTTAAGTCTTATCTTGTGTGTTGGTTCACTCATATCCCCAAATTGTTCAACTGGTAATCTTTCTCTTAACTATTTTCACTGTTCATTACTTATTTTTAATGAGCCTATCACAACTTCTTTAGAATATTAATATTAAAATAAAGCTTATTTTATTTTAAGGAGCAGAGCCTGATTTAAAAAAGCAACAGAAGCAATCAAACATTTTAAAATACTGATTTATGGTATACGCTCAAGGTGAGCATCTGCAGGTGTACGTGTGTGTGTTTGTGTGTGTGTGGCATACTGGGGCTTAATGATGGTTGACAGGCATGCTAGGGTAGCCTGGCCAGTTTGAAATTTACCATAATCTCATTATTCATCCATCTACCAAATCTGCCAGTCCTCACCTCAGTAATTACTCTCTCATTTCTTCATTCTGGCTCACTCTTTCTTCGCTCTCTTGCACTCTCACTTTTGTTTCACCGCACACTTTTATTTCATCCATCATTATTTCTTTACTGGGCCTCTCAGGATTATAAATGCAGGTTTAAAGTCCTTTAAAGTTGATGTATCATTCCTAAGTGGATGGCCTCAAGGTGATACACTCCACTCTACCCATCTGCTGCTCAGTTATTTAAAACAAAAATCATCTGATATTAATATCTGAACCTGTGTGTGTGTGTGCTCAGATGTGAACGAATGCGATCAGGGCAACGGTGGCTGTGCAGAGGTATGCGTGAACACCAAAGGCTCTTGGCGCTGTGAGTGCGGACGAGGCCGTGTGCTGGATGAGGATGGACGCACCTGTAGAGGTACAAGCACAGGCGTGCATTTATGTGTATGTGTTGTACAGAGATGAGTAAACTGGACACACACACACACCTCCAAATACTCTCCTGTTCTCTGTGTTGAAGAGATAGCTGGCTGTCATGTTAACAATGGAGGCTGCAGTCATGACTGCTCCGCTCTGCTGGACTCCTATCAGTGCCACTGTCCCAGAGGACTGGAGCTGGGAGAGGACAAGCGCACGTGTCAAGGTGTGTGTGTGAGTGAGAAAAAAAATGGTAGATATTGGTGATAGATAATCAATCGGGCAAAAAAAGAAGCAGACGTGAAGATACATGTTTGGATTTATCTCATCTGATTTTTCAGCAGAGATATGAGGTGAGTGCATTTCTTTAGGTCATAAGTGACGTCTTTATTATTACTGTTGTCAGGGACGATCTATAATCATATTTGAAGAGAATAACATGATTGGCCTTTTCTAGAGAGCCTTTTTTGAGAATCAAGAAAAATTGTCTGTTTTCTGTTTGTTGTTTTTTGGAGAAGACTCCAAAGAAAAAAACATTTTTATTATGGTTTATTGAGCAGATTAAGTTTTTGATTAACAGTTCACTAGATAATAAATCAAGAAAAACATGTTCTTTTAAGTCAGAATGCAAAAACATTCATTATTTTATTCTTGATTTATTTCTCAGTGATCAAGCACTAATGTTGTCAAAAGAGTACAAACAAAATCAAGGCTTTTGTATTTAAATCTTTTGAACAACAGTTTGCGAAAACATAAAAGGAATGATGCTGATATTCACAGTGGGGGCGCTGGAACCAGCAAATCTTTGTTTATGGAAATATGATGTAATTGCCAAAACAGCACAGCATCACATGTTCAGAAATTTCCAGCAAGAAAGTGATAAATCAGTAGAAACTACTAAGAAAAGTTAAGCGGCCACTAGTGGTAGAATGAAGCAGTGTCTTGGGGCGGCTGTGGCTCAGGAGATAGAGCTGGTCGTCTACGTATTGGAAGGTCAGTAGTTCGATGGGTCATCCTGGCTCCTGTAGTTGCTCCTTGTTTTTCTGCTGATAGAACTCGGGCAGCTTGCTTTTACTGGTTTCTGTATCATTACTTCTCGCCACAGGACATCATACTGTGTGATGTGGCATATGTTGTTGTATAATAATCACACAACTGTGAGATCATTTTAAGCAGCTTTTTGTTGTTTTATCCATGTAATAGTTGGCGATTTCTGTTTTATAGTGTTATAAAGAATCGGTGATATCTTTGACTCCCCCCTCTGCAGTTCCTGTCCAGTGTGATTCCAGCTCTATTACAGTATCAGTTCCTAAGGACCTTGTAGGCGGCCTGGAGCTCTTTCTCTCCAACTCATCTTGTCGGGGTGTCTCCAATGGCACACACATCAACATCAACTTCAGCCTCAAGACATGTGGCACAGTAGTTGAGGTCAGAGGAACTGGGGTGGAATTTTTGATAGAATGTGCCCTGGGTGAAATATGTAAGCCTAAGGCTTTGAAAAATGAGCAGTGCACTTTAATATGGGTTGCTCAAGCTTGTTACTAACTGAAAAACCCATTAATGTAATATAAATGTTCGTTCTCAGGTGACAGCTAATAAGATTGTAGGGACCAACCTGGTGACAGGTCTCCCAAGGAGCAGCCCAGGAAGCAGCGGGGACTTAATAGTCCGCACCGGCAAGTTGGTGCTCCCAGTTACCTGTGAGTTCCCCAGGGAATATCAGGTTTCAGACGGATACCAGGCAAGCCAGCGCAACTCAGCCCTAGAGCTGGAGGGCCACAGTGAGGGGGTCTTCACTTTCTCCCTAGAGCTTTTTAAGGATGCCCAGTTTTCAGAGGCCTACCGCACCCCACCCCAACTCCGCCTGCATGACTCCCTCTTCTTTGGGGTTGAGCCTAAGGAGAGAGTGGATGGTCTCTCTTCCCTGGTGGAGAGCTGCTTTGCTACACCGGGGCCCAAAGCTGACCAGGCCCTCAAGTACTACCTCATCAGAGATGGGTGAGTGTAGGTTTCATGTTATTTCATTTCATATATAATGTGAAATGTGCCTTATTTGCTTCTTCAATTAATCACTGTCTGTTTTGCAGCCCTCTACTGGCCAAAGATATAATGCAATAATCTACTTGAAATTAAAAATTGTCTTTACATTTGCAGGCGACAGATAGACAGATAGATGTCTGAAGAAATAATCAAAACAATCAGTCTGGTGTAAATAGCCACGCAAACAGATTTTACTTTATTTGAGCAGATTTTTAAACATGTTATTAATGGTTTTGTGTTATAAACTAAACTACTGTAGTACTGCTTATTTATAGTACTCACTTTGCTGACAATTTCATACATGCTGTGAACTCCTCAGACGGAGTTCTGTCCACCGTCCCTGTTTAGGACTGAATCTCAGCGATAAGCCTGACAAAACCAAACATTCACACTTTTTATGCAGAGTCGCTCCTAGAAATGTGCAGCTAAACTGAACTGACCATTTAAAGTGTGACACACACACACACACACACACACACACACACACACACAGAAAAGAGGTTTCTGCCTTGCTAACAATAGAAGTGTATTGAGTTCCAGTTATTGTAGTAAATGTCATCAGTATGAGATCCCACTGCTGTATCTTATAAAGGTCTTCTTGGCATCAGGTGCTCAAGTTATCGAACCGGAAATCACTCTTTCAGCTGAAAAATGTCACTCTGTCTTGTACGCTGACTAGTTCAGAAAAAAATACAACACATAGTTTTGGGTAGAAAAATGGAAACGAAATTTTTAAAATGTATGAAACACGCTTTTTTTTCCAGTGAATGCAGAGTTTTCCTCTGCAGACCCAATAGGTCATCACTAAATCTATATTCATGTTTGCCAACAAATGCGGCAGGCTTTCAGGACCTTGAAGCATCTAATCTCTTGATGAAGTGCCTTGTTAGAAACATTTATGGATCTCTGTTTACTGCATTAAGATGCATGTGTGACTCTAGTTTCTCTCTTTGGCTTCCTACGCAGATGTATTGCTGATGAAACAATGACACAGTACTCGTCAAAGGACCAGCTCTCTAAGCACTACCAGGTCCCTGTCTTCAAGTTCATTGGCAAGGACAACCGAGTGAGTAAAAGGAGCATGCTGGGAGCCAGCTGGCGAATGTGTGTGGGCTTATGCCTGCATAGCTCTATACTGCAAAGACTGTATTAATAGACCATGTGAATTAGCAGAATCCTTTACACTGTGAAGGCAGTCTCAAAATATCAAAACAAGCTTGCTTCCTCTGTTTACAGCAAGTGTTCCTGCACTGCCAGGTGCTAGTGTGCCGGGCAGGAGACTCCCGCTGTGCTCAGCGCTGTCGGGGACGCGTCCGACGGGAGGTTCAGACGGATGAACCTCAGGAGCAGCACGCATTGAGCGCAGGCCCCATCATTATCCTGCCTTAATCATGGCAATTATACAATGCTATCAACACAAACATCAACAAAAAAGCCATGAAATTAAACGATCAGCACAGTTGCATTTAAACTGAAGTGAACACTTTATGGTTTTTCTCACTTTCTGTCATACGTACACTATTTGAGTGGCGCTTTTCCAGATTAAACATGCGTAGAGTTTGAGATAATAAAGTCAGCGTGTCAGTGTTTGTGCACGTAATCCTTATGAGCCAAAAGCTCAGCTCTTAGACTGTGCTGAACATTCAGTTTCAGACTTATTTTGTACTCTTGTAATTTGTAAGATGTCAAAGAAAGAGATACCCAGCTCTGGCTATAAGAAAACCTCACCCACCTTCTACACCCACCTTTTTTTTTTTGAGAAGAAGCCAAGCAGAAAAAAGATGGTTTAAAGAAAGAGGAGTTAAAACAGCTTGAACTGACAATTGGCACCAAGGCCAGTTGTAAGATGAATAAGGATAATTTCGAGCAGCTTTAGTAGAGTCCAAAAATAAAAATATAGAGATGTACATAAGCATGATGGAACCCCTTTAAAAAGGAATCGTCCAGTTCAGTTGAACTGGTAATCCGGAGAGTAAATAAATATAGACATAGACACAAAGAAGCCAACTGCACTGTATATATGTGTATACAGCATGTCCTTTTCCTTTAACTTTTATTCTCATTAACACATCATAACAAGTTTGCGTCTGTTGGACTTGCAGCACATTATGCTGACCTTAAAGTGAATGACATTTCGATTAAAAAGCGAGAAAGGCGCCACACATCACTCATAACAGCTACAACAGGAGAGATGCTTTTCTGGGTCACACTTTCAGGCATTTCCCAGGCTTGATTACAGCTTAGAGACTTAGTGGATTTATGGAAGTGGTTTATTTCTCACCCCATCTCCAACTTAAAACCCCCCCCACCCCATCTAAAACATCTATAAGATGCCTTCTGACTCATTTGCTTGGTGTAATTGATGAGGAGCACGCCACACATTACAGTGTGCTGGGAAAGAAATATCAGAACCCTGCGTCTGGAAATTATGCATAAGCTTCATCACTCTGACAATTAATCTGGAGTTAATCGTGTCAGTTTAGCTGCAATTAGTCTTTAATGTATTCATAAAAATAACAAATAACTGGCAAATAACTTACATCAAGCATTAACATAGTAGGCATTAGATTTACATGACACTGACTTAAGGTTTGAGCAGCTTGACAAATTTAAGATAGCAGCACACAAGGAGCCTTGAGCACCACAGTAATTATCTGGTGTCTTTCTGTCTAGAGGAAATTAATCCAGTGACAGTATCCTTTCTATCTTCCCGTCACACACTTTGTTTGGAGTCATCAAGTAATTTATGGTAATGGAGTCATAGAGTCAATTGGCCTAAAATGAGGAGCATGGCGAGTGAATATGCACGAACAATTGTGAATAAATCCAAAGAAATTGTTCACTTAAATTCCTCTTTTATGTCTTTTTCTCTGGCCTCTGAATCTTGAGAGGGCTCTTGTGAGGCATCTCGTCTATGAAAGGAAAAAAAAGAAGCCTATAAATGCACGCTATGCGTGTGAAAATGTGACTCTGTTAGTTGTCTTCAAAAGCACACAGATGATGTCCATAGTGTTCTGTGTCACAGTTCATCCCTCTCCTCTCCCTCGCAGATACACGCTGCCCTCTGGCTGTTCATGTAAGGTCTGCAACCAAGAGTCCAAACTGTGTTGTAGAGAGCGTCTGCCATCGATTCACAGGCTAGGAGAAAAAAATATGAGAGAGGAGGGACGCTGATTTATTTATTTTTTCTACTTTGACACTTGTGGCTATGCACAGGCAGGAAGAGGGGAAAGTTAAATATCTCACCTTGCACTTTCGAAACAAACCCCAGACTCTTCTTAAGGTCAGAGCAGATGTCATGCAGGCACGAGCGAAACCTGGAGTCACAGTCGTACTTGCTCGTACCGCAGTTTTCGTAGCACATGTCAAGCTGGTTGCAGCACTTTGTCATAGCAGGGATCCCCAGGTCAAGCTGTGAGAGATAGATTGTGTCAGCACAGTCTGCTCAAACCGAACATGTGGCTTTTACAGCCATTAAGGTTGTTAATGATATTGCTTTGAAAGCTGTTGGTGCTATGAACAGGCAACCTACAGCAGCATTCACCTGGAATCCCACCAGAGAGGTGCTGCAGCCGTTGGGCTCTGAGAGCTGGAAGCCAGGACGAGGTTGAGGAAGTTCTCCTGAGAAAACATGGAAGCTTCATTTAGGTCTTGAACTTGACTGCGTTAGCAAACAAATTTCATGAGGCGCTCCTGTTCATCCTCAGGTGTGTATCATTTCACAGATAAGATATACCTTCTGTTTGAGAACATGTATATGGATGATTGAGACGAGGGAAAGCTAAACTCCCACTGATAAACAGATGCATTCAGGTTTCGGTATAAGAAGCCTGAGGCCCTTGGATCAATAAAGAAGTACTTTGGCTCTGATAGCAGTGGAATCGGATCTAAAAGTTGAACTAACCAAAAAATATCTAGTTAAGGAAGCATATTGGAAGTGGAAAACACAGTAATCATTTCTGAGGGTCAGAAACATTTTTTGGGGGGAAGCTAAAAACAACAATGTGTAAAAACACGTCTCCAAATCCCTTAAAGACCGGTGAACTTGAACAGAGAATTTTAAGATGGATTTTTACCATATCTTCTGCAGCGGTACTCACAAACACCATTGTGTCCACCGACCAGTTCCACCAGGGAGTCGAAGTATCCGTGCGCAGTCTGGAAACTATTTCTAATAGAGTTGAGGCCCCAGCTGCTGTCTTCTTGTTCCTGTGGTGTTTTCTGGGACTTGTTTGTCTGAACTGGTCTGATCTCATTCGCCTCTTCCCCAGAAGAAGGTTGTTCCAGGTTCTTAGCTTTCATAGCAGGGCTGTCTCCAGGAGGCCCATCACTGCCTGGCACTGATTCTTTGACTGTAGCACCTTCTGCCACCACCTGGACATCTTCTTCATGTTTGTCGCCTGATTGGCTACCCTTCACACCTATTTCACGCAGCGGTTTGTCACCAAAAACGCTGTTACCTGCGTTTGCCTCAGCTGAAGATGAATCACCTACTTCAACAGCAGTGACAGCATCTTCGGCAGCAACAACTGAATCAGCAGCAGGGCCTCCGTCCTCCTTTGCGTCAGTCTGGTAGTAGCCTAAAGTGGCACACGTCCCTGTGGACAGGCAGAGGAGGAGCAGGAGAACAGTCCGAAGCAGCATGGTGTCGAAGTGGCAACAATCCAAGCAGAAGTGAGCCGTCAGTAACAGGATGGGAAGAGCTTAGACTGTGAGGGACAAAAACACACTTTGCCCCGACTGACTCTGTCAGCCAGAGCGAAGACTTTGACCTCTGATTAGATTCCGGCAGACAGCAAAGCATTCCCTCATGTCAGGGGCAAAGGTCACCCTCTATCAATCCAAAGAAAAGCTTCAATGATTACACTAATTCTCTGTGATTATTTATCAAATGAGTACTGTCATCAGGGCTTTCTGCACACAGTTATAATTGAATTTCTTTTTCTTTTTTGATAAGCCACGTGGAACTTGAACCTAGAGGAAAATCTTTTCATGATTCCCGTTAACGCAACATATTTAATACCCCGTTAAAGGAAATACAGCATTAAATAGAAATCCTATCCATGCTGACATTTGTCAAGACATTACAAACCCCTAGACTATCTTCACTGTTTTTGATAAAGGTTACACACAGACACTTCAGCCCTGAGTAAGAACAGAGGCAAACTACTGTTAATATGACATAAGAGAGCGGAAGCATAACAGCATGAACATTTATGTTATGTTATGATTTCAAGAGTAAAAAAGTTCCGCGGCTCAGCTGGAACATCACTATGTGAAGAATACTAAGCAAATCTTTTAAGTTACACAGTAAAACCAATGTGGGAATTTTGCTTTAGTGCAGGAGTCTTAATTTCCTGCTGACACAATTTTCTCAAAAGTCTCTGCTGCCCTCTAGTGTTTGAAGAGTAGGTTGCTCCCAGTTTTTCCAGTACTTTATGTTTATATTTTAGATGGATGCTACACTGCTAGTTTATTTATGCAACGCATGACTAACTCTTATACACTCACGTAGCATTATATATACAGTATACGTGTTATGTTATTGTACCTTATTTAAGACTTAAGCTTTAAAAACTACTGCTAGACTAAAGCATCAGTAAATATAACACCGTCTTGTGGCGACTGGCAGGCATACTTTTTCTTTTATTGCATGCTCTAAACCAAAAGCCTACAAAATGGATAAAGTAATCAGATAATTCTTAGTTGCTTGCTGGTTCTCAAACTCTTTTATTGAGCACACACTGCCTAAGTTTTGAAATGTCGCATTGTATTCTGTAGTTTTCCTGCTGATGAAGCCATTCACTCTGCTTGTAGATCTTGGTGTATTTCATCCCACAAAATCCTGTATTAAAACACAGCATAGCAAGAAGAAGTAAGTAAAAATGGTCACAAACTAATCAAGTGCAACATATACACTGTTCCACATACCGTCTTATGGCCTTGCTTGCTTTCTCCTTGTTCAGCACTGCGCTGATGTTGTTTTCAAGATCCTTAAAAGACAACACATCTGACTCTCACATAGTAAACATACATTTGAAATATCTAATACCTGCAATTAAAAAATAAACAAACAAACAAAAAACATGCTAAAAAAGACCACCCTCTCATACCTTGCTAATGACCCTTAGATGCTCATTTGAGGCTATCAGCTTCAATATTTCAGTCTGGAAGCAAACAGGCAAAAAGGAAATTTCTTGCTTAACTCTTAACTTTGCTCAGTGTGATTTACAAGTTGAGCTGTGCCTTTATAAGCCAGTGTGAAATGAGGCCAAATGTAGCACCTGTTGGTCTCTGATATGTCCTTTAGTAGCTGTGGTTGTAACAGTGGACACCAACTTCTCTTCTAGCTCTTCCTCCAGCTGTTTGATTTCCTTCCAAACATTCATTACTTGAAGCCTCTTGAACTGGATGCTGTCAGAATAGCCAGAGACATTCATAGCATCCTGTAGCCCTGCCCGACATGTATCTGTTCAAACACAGATGAGGTGAACATGAATGCAATGCATAGAGAAGTGAAAAAAATTGATGCGTACTCATCATGGGCATGAATGCCATGGTAATTTTGGGCTTAATTTCTTTGAATTGTTGTTTACAGATGGGAGATGCTTTACAATTCCACCAGGGTGGCGTGATTGTAAAGCATACATCTGCACAGGGTCAAAAGCACACATACAGACTCAAAAATATACCAATATTCACTCAAACCTTTAAATATGGGGTTGCTAAAAGTTCTACAATGTCTTTTAACTTGACAAGGTCCATTAACTTCTTGCTAGTGATGATTGACTACAACTGGTAATTTCTCTTTGCCAGCATAAAAAAATCCTTTGACAGTAGTCAATGGATTGACCAACACTGAGAACAATGAGAAAAAGCACAAGTAATGCAGATGTGGCACCATGTGGAAGAAGAGCCAAACTGTCACCCTCAGATGGGAAGAAATTAGGATGTTCAGAGACAACCAAAAAACTGCCAAGACTAAAGCTTGTCATACGCTGGAAAATGCTGGAATACCATCATTACTATGGACTAAGAGGGTGCTCAACAAGAAAGAAGCCTTTGCACCAAAATGAAGTTCTTCAGGCTTGACTAAAATGTGCAGCGGTCCACATGAACAAGTCAAAAATCTTCTGGAGAAAAGTTTTATGGTCAGAGAAGGCAAAGATTGAGCTATTTGGCCATGGTGACAAGAGGTATATTCAGAGGAGTAAAGGAGGCTTTCAAAGCTAAAAACACTTATCAGCTGCCAAGCATGGTGGCGGTAGGATCTTGCTCTGGGGCTGATTTACTGCCAGGGTACTGATACATTAAACAAAGTGGAAGGAATCCAAATTCTTCAACTTCACCTCAAATCAACAGCTAGATGACTGAAATTTGGAGACAACTGGGTGTTCCAACAGGACAATGATCTCAAAGACACATAAAAACTGGTTTTGGAGTGGATAAAGCAGGTTAACATTAAAACATTCTGGAACGGCATTCCCAAAACGCTGACCTCAACCTAATTGAAATTATGGTCTAAAAGCTTCATTCATTAAAAGGTCTGAATTACTATGATATTCATAACGATAGTGATCATAACTGCATATGAAGACATCCCTGCTGGGATTAGAAAGTGACCACTGACACTAGAACGTTGTTTGTTATGACTGTTGGCACCAAAAAGTGATTATTTGTTCACTCTTAAAGACCAGATATATCTAAAACTTAGCATGCTGTATACCAAATTAACTGTTAACTAACAATAGGGTACAAAAAATATATTAAGGTAGTCTTAAGACTTACTTTTCTTGTAACTGTCCTTCGGGTGCATGGCAGCTGAAAAGTTCTGTAACTCATTTTGGACCCTGAGGTTTGAAAGGACAAACACACTTCAACTAAAGAGAAGGTACATAAGTACAAGCCTGCTGTTGATACTTTGTTTTGTGGTACCGTTTCTTCTCCTCTAGAGCTCTTCTAGCCTCATGCTCCAGCCTGCAAACTTCCTTTTCAGCATCGTCCAACTCGGTTTCGCTTACTTTGAGTGAAGTATTCGGTGACTGAAGCAAGAACAAAACATTAGGACCTAAATTATTTTCCAAAAAAGCAAAAGATGCTTGAGATTAATGCTGCCAGTAGCTTGGCTACTGCTGAAGAACTAAAGGTTTTATCCTTCTCTGTGGGAAGTTTAAATATCTATAATACACTTATCACTGAGACCACAAGAATTTACTGTTTAAACCTTGTTTAGAAATACATGTAGGCTTTCTTTTTTTTTTTTTTAAAGAAACATTAACTGTAGACAAGGGACTGAAAATACCCACAAAATCAAATAACGAACTCTGTGACAAGCGGCATCTTTGACTCTTTGAACTGTGAGGAAATCTACGAATATCAGCACTGTTGTTTTCCTTTTTTATGTAAAACAATTTCCATTCTTTAAAGGCAAAATGAGCGTGAGAATGTATTGTATAGGAACACTATGAATGAATGTCTTTGACACAAAAATGTCTGAATATCGCAGTCATTTCTCAGGTTATATCTTCAGTATGTGTGTCTTTGGGCAGTGTTCCTTACCAGGCTGCGTGGTGAGGACTGCAAACTCATCAGGTGGTTGACGTATAAATCATATTCTGTCTGGAAGAGAAAAGAAAGCTTTATTACAGACTGAGAATTATGTTGATTTAAAAAGATGTCCTTGTAGAAAATCCTTCAGAAAAAGATTTTACAAATTGTATGCACTGCAGCTTACTACCATGTTTAATAATAACAAAAAAAGGATTTCAGCTGCATGAAAAGTGAAATTGCGCACTTTGCAAACTGCAGCATGGGAAGTCTTTTTACTGACAGTCTAAGCAAAACTATCATGTGCAAAAGAAACTTGAGGCATTCGTTATGAATGAGCAGTAATGGAACCATCGCCCTCTGATGACCTCCTCTCTGATGCATCGCGACCAGGTTCCGGTGGCTGCTCTACTTGTACTTGCTACTCCAGGGACTCACTCTCTCTTGGCTCTAATACATCTGTCGGTACATGCTAAAAATGAGCTGGTGGGTACAGAGGAAATGGAAAAACCTTAATTTCCCTCAGGATGCGTCCAAACGCTGGCGAGTCTTCACATACATCATCAAAGACGTCACTGAACACCGCAAGGCGGTCTTTGCTGGGCCAGCTCTGCGCAGACAACTTAATCAACCCCTGCGCACAAGACCACACACACAATATTAGCAGGTTAAAAGTGTGTTAGAGTGTATGCATGTTGAAGTCTGTGCATGTCTTTACCCTGTGTTCAGAGAGCACTTTAGGTTTACTATATCATGCAAAATGCAAAAAAAGAAAGAAAAAAGCAATTACAGACAGTTTATTGATGTCATGGTTTGTGTCACAATCCTCACCTCTTGCAGTTTCCTCGCATGCATTTCAGCAACATTTTTTACAGCCCAGAGGTCCGGTTTGGCCATGACTTGCCAGCCAAAGCATTTTTTCTTCTCTTGCTGGTCTTGGTTGTTCAGGCCGTCCTGGTCAGAACGGCTCAATGTGAAATGATGATTTACCCCCAGATCAGATGGAGATTTAGGTTTTTTCTGAGAACAAGCTTTCTGCTGGACAGGCAAAGTCCTTGAGGGACGGTAAACTATCTGAGATAGACTTATATGTTCTCTTCTTTCAGGATGTGATGTATGATCTTGTGTGTACCCCAAGACTCTAGGCTCTACTAAAGCTGTGCCAGAAGTGAGCTCAGGGGGGAACTCTTTCATTTCATTCTTTTTTGCCTTTGTCTGTATCTGCTGGAGAGATAGTGGGTTTCGACTTTCTTCTTGGCTCTGAGACATCCTCCAAAAAACCGACTTTGTCTCCTCTTGAGGCTGACTCTGGTTCAGGCTGCGAGGCCCCAGATGACCTGAGGAGTAGGCCAGGATATCAGCCTTCTGCCCGGCTTCAGCTGCCAGCAGCAGTCTGTGGATATCGCTCCCATAGCGCCCAGGCTTTGGCTTCACACTGCTGGACATGGCTGTGAAGGCCAACGTATTGTTGTATAGTTATTTTAAAGACATACGAGTAATAATGTCTAATTATCTCAAGAGGTGTACAATTTCTTAAAATATTAAAAACATTCGTTATTCTTTCTGGTGAATAGAAATGCACCCTAAAAAGGAATTTTCTCTCAAACGACTTAAATTTTATGGTAAATCCAGACACTGCACAAATAATTCGAAGAGAGTTTACGCTTATAGCAAAACTACTAGTGCCTCATATTTAAGCTTTCACGTGATTAATTTATTTACTAAAGATCGTGCTGCAGGATAACAGAATGAAATAAACTCTCATTAATGACCTCACCTGTTAGTTAACTGTAATTTGGACAGGCTCAGGACAGAAAACAAACTTTCTTCATGGCCGCAGCAGTCTGTGCTTCACTCGGTTGCCAAGGTGATCGAAGCGCGTAATGTTTGTGCTGCGTTCAGTGTCCCGATAATAATCGTACCCGTGAGCTTAAGGCGCTAGTCCTCACCTGTACCTGACGAAGAAAACAGCTGGAGTGAGATTGTAGAGTACTCTATGCGTTAAGTAAGTTTGTGTTCATAGATATCTAAACATTAACGCAATTATGGGACCAGCTTACTTATGTTCAAAGAAGAAAACTATTAAAAACATTTTAATCTATAAAAAAAATCGTTTCATTATTTGATAAGAACTCCAGTGCTCTTCAATAAATACTACATATTTTCCTGCACAGAACGAAAAATTAATACAAATCTTTGTGAACTGGGGAAATGTTGTTACTTGTAAAAACTTTATTCAAACTCTTCTCTTCATCTTCACCTGGTTCTTTGTAATAAGTGGGTTATTATGTGCATTAAACACAGGGCCCTGAGGGAGGAGGAGAAAAACAGTGAAACATGGACTCAGGGTTCAAGTCACCAGAATACACAGATGGCAAAATTGAACATGAATAAAAAACTGTAATGTATTTTATTGTACATTAATATGGTTGTGTCATACAACAACGTTTTGCACTCATTTGCATTCTTGTTTTGTCCACTACCTCAACATGTAAAATGTTATCATTAGAGGTTTATTTAATGACTATTCACATATGAAATGCCACAGTCCATCTCTAGTCTGAGCAATGACTTAATTTAAGTAATTTAAGTTCCCTTAGTCAAAATGTAAATTTAAATTGATCATCTCTATGGGATGAATGCAGTCAGATTAAATATTGTTCATATTGTTTACTGAGAATTTGTAAAGAAATGTTTTTTAATAGTCAGTAGGCAATGGCGCCAAAAAGATACTACATAATTATATAAAAAAAATATGAAAGTAAGACAAAATTGTACAGTGAGTCATCTTTTTATCTTTTTACTCCATCAATCCAAATGTGCTTAAACTTTCCCTCTCTAGCACCAGCTGCCAACTGTTTAACACAGTGATGGATCTTTAGTTTTGGGCAGCCATCTTGTGGAAATTCGATTGTAAACATGAATGATAACGGCAGCGGATGAGGCTTTATTACAAAACTAGTTCAGGCAGCTGCAAGCCTTTCTCGTGCAAGGACAATAACACAACTATACACACTCCCAGAATTCCAAGAGGAGATCTCAGGAACTCATCTTTTTAAAAGAAAAATTTCTGACATTCAGATTTTGCTGACTTTCGTATTCTTTTACTACGTTTGTTTGACCAGCTCAAAGGGCAAAAGTGATATTACAGAATGAATTAAATATAGTAATTATTACAGAGTTACCATAAAGTGTTGATACTGAAATGCTATAGATGCTATAAATGATAAACACTCTACTTTTCAGTTTATTTATAGCTGCAAACAAGAGGCCATTTCACAGATTCCCTGAAATTTCTAATAACTCAAAAGTATTAAAAAGTATTCTTTTCTTTTCTTTTTTTTTTTTTAGAACAATTAAAAAGTAGGGTGATGCTACTGACCATTCAGGGGTGATGCATTGTTACTGATCATTGAAACAGGATGCATTAACAGTGAGACCCCCCACCCGGCCCAAGAAAGAAAGGTATGTTGGTAATGAATAAACTGGCACAAAGGTGTATTTTCAGGTATTTATTAAAAGTCATTTGGGCTACTGCTCTTACATGTACAGTTAAGACATTCCTCAGTTATTCTTGGTAACAGTAACATGTCTAGACTGTTTAATTTATCTTAATGTTTACTTTGTACAAAACAAAAAAAGGCCAACATTATTTTTCTTTGTATAAAAAATATAAGTTAATTTAAATTTAACTCTAATTAAGAAAATAACAATAGTAATAATAGCAATAATAATAATAATAATAATAATAATAATGATAAGCTAAACATAGTGCAGACAATAGGATATAACTGGTGCTGAAAAGTAGAAGGGACAGTGCAGTGACTTTATCATGTTGTCAGGTGGGGTTGGAGTGGGGAAAAGACGAAGCTTTCTTTCATGCTCGTGCTCTCTCTCTGTGTCTCTCACATACACACACACATGCGTGCACACACACACACACTCACACACACAGTCAGAAAGTGCGCGACTGCCATTCAGAGTAGCACCATCAGAGCACACATCTCAGTCTGTACAAACTAAATCCTAGATTGTACACAGTATACACCTATATGCAAAAAGTTTGAATATAAAGTTCGGTTTAGGTGCATGCTAATTGTTGCTCTTGGTTGAAGCTTACTGGAAGCAATTCTGAAAAGTAAGACAGAGCACATCGTGGTAACTGATGGCAGGCTTACCCACGTGCCACCACCAAGCGTCTACAACCAACGAAACATTCATCGAAATGTACATTCACAACACCGGGGGCCGCAGTATCAGTCGCATAACGAATTACTGTAGCAATAGTGTCAGTCTCTGAGGGACACTGTCCACTGGAATGACAGTTTCAGACAAATAAATTTGTCTTTTGGAAGATCTCGGAAACTCATCTGAAAGCGTCCAAATGTGTGTGCCCCCCCCCCAACCCCCAGCATGAAGTTGGAGAATCAGTGTAAAAGAGGATGATTGATTTCCTTCGAGGGAAACTTCAGTCACACGGTCAAACTACATTCTTCACTTGCAATCCCAGAGTTGGACATATTTCACTTTAGCTTAACAGGTTTGACATTATGGGAAAATATGAAGCAGATGACTGTTTGCCGTTAACTTCAGCCTCTATGAAACTTGCTTATAAAAAAAACAACAACGATAAAACATCCCAAACTATGCAGTCCACTTCCTACAGTCATTCTTTAGTTAACTTGTTGTGCAAAGTAATTGATGATGTGATAGTGGCTTCAAAAATGAGAGAGGAAATTAAGCAGTATGCAGTCTTGGCTTAATATAAACATCTGGAACGGGAACCTTGCTCATTTCTTTTTCCTGATCTCCGTACTGCAAACAGTGACTGCTGATCTGGGGTCAGATCCTGTTAATCCGAAGGATGTTGATGTACTGTGCAGCAGGTTTCTACATGCTTGGGGCTAAGAGGCTACGGGGTCCACTTCAGGAAACATTGTGACTCTCTTGTGACTGTATTCACAAATGTCGGCATTATGTAACTCATCACAGTTCATCCACGCTTGTAGCATACACTGCAGGGGATTTCTGCCATCTCCTCGCAGAATAGGCTGTATGTCTTTATTCAAGTACTGCAAAGGATTTTTGCTGAAAAAGTAATAAAAAAAAATCTAGTGTCCACCTTCTCAATGAGATGGCATTACACCCCTACATCTTCACACATTCCTTCTGTCTCTGGGAATACCTTGCTGAAGTAGTGCGCATACGGCAAACACAGAAGGCAAACAGTACCGTTTTAAAAAAAAGAAACAAAAAAGCCTGAACTGACAACAAGATTTCACATATCCTAGCCTGTGAAAGGTTCAGAAAAAGGCCTCTGCAAATACAAGACCATAATGGAATCAGCTCATATGAAGAAAAATAATAAAATAACATAATACAGCCAAAATAAAGCAACCAAGTCTGTTCTACCAAGTGAATTCCCAAGCTGAGTGGATGTAGGGCGATGGATTGAATTCCCTCACCAACAACTGTCTGTCACTCTCTGGGATCGGTGAAACCGTCAGTGTTGACACCTCCGTCACCCGATGAGGTAACTGTGTGTGTGTGTTTTGAAAGTCAAGTCGCTTTTATCTAATCCGTCTCCTGCCAACACAGATTGCGGGTTCATTCCCCTTCAATGGTCTGGGTCCACGGCAGGATTCAGGCTGTGTTCCTTTGGTGAGCAAGCAACCCTCCTTTGTCTGTCAGTTGTCCACCTTAACAGGGCCTGAATCACAAGGCCGGCTGGGCACGATGTCCTCCACCTCTCCCCTTGCTATTTTCTCCCACTGGCCCAGGTTCTCTCTGCAAATACAAACCACCTCGATCAGATGCACAGTGGGAAAAATTTCATTTACAAGTGCAGAGGCATGGCTTTGAGTCTGAAATAAGAGAATTAAGAATCACACCAGTACACAAAATTTTCAAATCATGCAAAAATTGCAAAACTGCAAAACACACACACAAAAAAAGGAAGAAGTTGATTTGCAAAACAAAACAGTAGCTACAACAGTGGCCAGGCAACACAATCAGTTCTTGTTGTCATGAAGGTGATCTCTCCCCCATGTGCTGTGATTGACACAAGAGTGCAGAAAACCGAAACAAAGCAAAACCTTCCCTTTGCTGCTATTCTATTCAATTAGACAGCCTGATGCAGTTTACACGTCTTTGGCAGATCCCACAACACGCAGCAGGGCTCCACAGGGTCTAGGCCTGTTGCCCACCCGGAGCCCGGTGCTGACGTACAGCTGGGGCTTAAGTATTACACTGCTCACTTTGTTTGCATTCCCCACAGATCAAGGACACATTTTATAAAGCAGCAGAAGGGCAGATGAATGTGCAACACAATCCCGTTCAAAAACCAGAAATAACAACTGTAAATACCGTCTTTACACTCTTATCTATTGTGCACGCAGACATGCCCGACGCACAATGTCACACCACACACAGTGACGCACAAAGTTAGCACACTGTAGTCTATATTTATTTTTCATTTAATCCAAATACTTTTTAAAAAAAACTCATAACAAAAGTGGGGTCAAACATTAATAGCAGAACATGCCATTTTTTTGTATTTTTCACTGGAATGCTTAAAAACGTGTGCCTGTGCACACACACCTTATCACCTCTGATCTTACTGGATTAGTACTGTATTAAGGACGGCGCATGCATTACTGGTTACCCTTCAAGCTGTTGTCAGCTCATTTATCGATCACAGCAGAGGAGAAATAAGCATGACAATAATGTGTAAAGCAACATTTAGACTTTGGCGTTTTAGACATTTTTCACAAAAAAACCCAAGAATTATTCAGTCACTCAATTTCTTTGTCAACTCTAGCTTTGAATAACTTACTTGCAGGCCTTTAGCAGAGGACCTGATGGAGGAAAAAGCTCAGCAAGTGTTGTGTAACATGGAACTGCAACACCATTGTAGAATCCCACCTTTAAAAAAAATGAGAAAGCAAATGTAAAATAGACTTAATGATAGTAAAACATGTAGCATATGCTAATATTTGTTGGACAAAGACCCAGTTTTTGCATTTTTGCCTTTGTACACCACCACAGAGGATTTTACATCAAGTGTGACTGAAGTGCAGACATGTTGCAAAACTGTTTCATAAACTCGTATAGGAATAAAATACATTTTTATATGTAATCCTCCATTTTTAGAGGCTCAAAGTTATTTGGAGAAACTAACATCATTTTAAATACAAGGACTGTTTTTAGTACAGTTTGCAGTCAATGACTGCCTGAAGTCTAGGACCCATGGACATCATCCAATGCTGTGTTTCCTCCACTGAAATGCTCTGCCTGGCCAGGCCTGTATTCAGTCTTATCTTCAGGAAACTGAAAAGCACGGTCCATTGGATGGAGATTGCTTACTGACTTACCCACTGAGGGATATCCAGTATCTTTGCCTTGAGAAACTTTTGGGCTGCTTTTGCAGTAATCCTGAGGTCATTAGTCATTTGCACAGTGAAGTGCTAGAAAGTATAGCCTTGTACACTTCACAATTCATCCTGCTTTTTCTATCAGCAGTCACATCATCAATAAACAGTCGCAACCTGGTTCCACTCAGAGCCATACACGCCCATGCTGTGACATATTCTATACCATGTTTAACTGAAGATTAGGTCTGCTTTGGATCATGAGATTTCTCTCCTTCCTCATATTTTCTGTTCCCATCATTCTGGTGCAAGTTTATCTTGGGAATCTCTTGATTGTAGACTTGAGAGTGTTAATCTTGTTAGATGTTATTAACTTGTTTCTCTAAACCATGGAAATAATTCTGCAATCATGCACTTTAGTTGTCGTTTGTGGTCTTTTGGGTTTTTTGGATTTGCTGATCCCTCCAAACTATTTTTTCTTTTTAAGAATGAACCAGATTTTTGATTTGGCTAAATTTTTTTGTCTTGTTTAGTTTTTTCAGTCTAATGATGGCGTCCCTCGCTTGCAATGACATTTCTTTAGACTTTATATTTCAAATTATAGTGAAAAGCCAAAAAATGCAAATTCAGCTACAGATATTGTGGACATTAAACTGTTTAGTTTACAGAGGCCGTGAATTTAATGGAGACTGTTTATAAAAATGGTTGTAATTGCTAAATAGTTTTTGCAAAAGGTTTCGAAAGCCCCTTGAATTAAAGCTTAAAGTCTACACTTCAATCAACTATTTATTGTTTGATTTAAAATCCACTGCTGTGTTGTACAGAAGCAAAACTACAAAAGCGTTGATTCAACAGTTCCTATCCTGTTCTTTTAAAATATATTTCCCATCAGAAGGCTGAACATTCATTAAATATTTAAAGCAGTTAAAACACACGAGTAAATGTCTTGCTCTTACTTGGCCTTGGGGAACCTCGTCCTTCTTGTCTCTGTCCATCATAGGGATCGGCTGGATCCCAATCTTCTTCATCTCATCTCCCTGTGGAGTAACAAAATAACAAGATAACGTGGCTTTTATTTTTGCACACTGTGGTTAAGTCTCCTGACCACTAGACAACACGATGTTGTGCCTTACAAATTGTAAGTTGAAGCAGCATTTACGAGCAATAATAGAGGCCAGACTGTTACACTGGAGGCAGTTTAAAGTCTAACAGTATCCCACTGTACCTCAGCCCAAAACTCAGCATAGATGTCGTTGGCTGTGAGTCGTGTGATTTGCCACTGCTTGGTAACAGAACACAGGTCACATGCTGTCATCATCAGACCAATCACACGGTCCCTGGAGGGGAGCAAAGCCTTGTTATATCCATGTGGGGGGGAAGGACTCAATGTGCTGTTTATGTGCGCCAGGTCTAACATTTCACAGCGTGATACTGATGAGACCTGGTGTGGTCCTGACCTGACCTGTGCCCCAGTGTGAGTCGTAGCCTGACCTGTGGGAATGGTTGTTCAAATCCAGCGCACATGAGGTCAGCATCTCCGACAGCTGCTGGTGGTTGTTGAAGTAGAGGGCGAGGTCTGTGGCGATGATGGCCTTTCGAATGATCTCCAGCACCTGCTCGTACTCGCTGGAAGTCAGGTTGGAGAAAATATTGTGCCCTTCCAGCTATGAGAAACAAAGAGATCAATAAAAAAGCAAAAGCTCCACTTATGAGGCATTCAGCTAGACTACAAAATCTTGCAAACATAAGTTCATCACAGGGCTACAGCCCAAACTAGCAGATCCTGCATGTTACAAAAGACACCTTGTAAGACGCTTATCAGAACTAAGTCATATGATCCTTTGAATGCATACGTAACTGACAGTTCGTATAAGGATTCGTTATCTAATATAGTAAAATCTTTTTTGTTTGTTTTAAGCTGATGACATTGTTGCAGTACCAGATGGAACATTTTTTATGGGTATTTTTTAAATTGTGATCCTTTTTCTGTTTTGCTGATCAAGTTATTTTCATTTCTTTGTCCAGTGAAGTATACTATTTAGGCTACAGTCACACTAGGGGAAATGGTGCCTGGAAACCGTAGCACGACCCAAATTATTGTAACCATGTGCAATGAACTCTTGTTCCCTTTGACCTGCCTCGAAGACAGACACAAAATCTCGCAGTCAGTAGCCATCTTCAAAGTGACTCGTATCCATCAAGAAGTCGATAAAATGGGAATAAGACGGAGTCAGTCTGCTGTCTTATGAATGGAATCATGGTGGCGATCTCATACAATCTGTTTGGGATAATTTGGCTATTAGCTGTCATCTGGACCGGTTAAGTCCACGGATGTGTCACAGACAAGTTATTGGCGCATACTGACTCCGATTTATTGCAGCGTGTTGGCAATTTGTCCACATTAATAAATTAGGAGGCAATTATTGTTTGCAGTCAGTCCAAAATGGAGCGCAGTTGTTTGCCTCCCACCAGGCAACATGTGCACTCACCTTGTGATCAAACATAGTTGCCCAGAGGATAAGAGTGTAATGGTAGTTACACTCAAGCTGTGTAATTACCTTTGAAACTGGTTGCAGAATTTGAAACAAATTCATTGCAATAACTTGGCAACCACTGATCTTTTTTCCTAGTCACTGCGAGATGCTTTCATATTTTTACTCTAGTGTGACTGAGCCATTGAGTAATAGGTTCATTATTTCCTATTAAACACTTGTGGAAATAAGATTAAGTAGGGTTAACATGTTGATTTTCAAGGTACCCTAAATTCTGTATTGTGGATCTCTACCTGCAAGATAGAAACAGTCTGAGAGAAGTGGTGCTGCTCCATGGTGGAGGTTGAGTACAGAGCAGCCAGTGGATGGTCAAACTTCTGGAGGTAGGCATTGCTATACCCCCGATGGTCCAGATCATGGCAAAGACAGGCTATTAGCAAACCCTTCTTCTGTAAAATGGTGGGCAAATAAAAACACATTTTCTTGAAAGCACACAGCGACAGCAGATGTTGATCTTGTTTCCAGTTATTTTCCTAGCAGACCCAACAAGAAGCAAACCTCTAGCTCTGTGAAGATCCCAGAGGTTTTCTGTAGGATGGCGTACATACAGTGTGCCACCGTCACTGCGTGCTTCCAGTTGTGGTAGGGCACGCGGCGGTAGTTCTTCTTTACGGACATGGTGAACCGGCACAGCTTCTCCAGCTCAAAGCTGTATTAAGGGGAAAAAAGGGAAAGAAACTGGTAGTGGATGCTTGTTTATTTACTTTTTATTCCATTTAGTTTCTTGTTGTTTGAGTCGTAGTCTTGTGTAAACAATATTGCTGACGCTACCTGGTCTTTCCACAGGAGTTATGAACCATGTAGATGAAAATGGCAGGCCAGATCTCCTCAAAGGGACTGATGTCAAAGTGGAACCTGGAGGAGGGAGCAAAAGGTTTAAATTAACATGATCAGCAGATCTGGGAAAAGGAGACAACATGCAGATTAAGGGACTTCTGAGATCTGAGAGTTTTAAACTGACAGGTTGACATCTATAGGACACGGTCCTTCTTGCACTGTGTTTGTGTTTGCACTCTTCTTGCAGGGCGACACAGTCTAGGTCTGCACTGTGTCATTGTGCCTTTCACAGACATGTGGCTGTACACTCATGTCTACTACACTCAAGGTCAAAACACGAGTTCCCTAGAAGGCCGCCAGAGGAGGCACTCACATTTCGATCTCTTTATAAATAGGTGTAGGGAGGTTGAGCTGGGTGAGGGTCTTCCATTCTTCTGATGTGCAGATGCTGTGATAAGACAGTTTCTCCATCGTCACTCTGTAAATGCATTCAGAGTGTCGGATCCTGTGGTACATCTGTAAGGAAATCACAGATCTGGAATAAGTCTTTAAAATGGCAAGTGAGAACTTGAACACTGCTATACATACCACAGAAATGTTGTTTATAATATCAATGTAAAATTCTATCAGTCTCTCCGATGAAAGTTAAAGTTGTAGTCGTAGTGTACGCCTCCAAATAGCATTTCCACATCTGGTTTGCATCCCTGTCCTCAAGCTAGATGATAATGTAAAGGCGCCAGGCATCACACCTTCACCCGTAAATCACTTTGAGTCAGAAGCAAGCCAAAGTTAGCTTCCCAGAGACACGAGGCATAAATTACAACTAAACACAAATCCTGTCACTGGACGGATGCAGACCTCGCATCTTAAAATATTAACATCTCGCATCAATTTTAAAAGCACATTTGTGACGCTGCTCATGCGTAAGTTTGTCGCAAGCGATGACAGTGAGTCAGGCCCCACAGCGAGGACACGCTCTGACAGACAGGCCACACAATGTAGGCTTTGAGAGTTAGCATGATTCATGAAATGTTTGTGTTACATGTAAGGGATAATCACCTGGTGATTATGCATTTTTACAGCACTGCACACTTTAAATAGAAACTGCACTTTATTCATTTTAGACTGTGATTTTTGGTTGACGATGAAACCGTCACGTCAAAGTTGGAGTTATATCAAAATAAGATGGTTAAAATTGAGCACTCGTGGCCTGGAGGTACGCCATATATACAATGTTCTTATAATGTATGTAGATTGCAAAGTGTGTGCAGGAAGATATCAAGTCAGTGGGGTATGCATTTGCAGTTAGACAACACCCGTTAGTCTTTTAAGAAGTGTAAGACTAATTTGGTGTACTCACATTTGCACAGTGTAAGGCCAGAGCACAAAAGACAGCAAACATCTTAAAGTTGTTCTCATCTGTTTTAGTGAAGGCACTTCCGCTTAACTTGTTCACCATCTGCACCACACCTATAACGGTCCCCCTGCTCACAATGGGCATGCACAGAATGTTCCGCGTGGTGTAGCCAGTTTTCAGGTCCACCTCTCTGTTCAAAAAGACATACAGTTATGTTGACTTTGTCAGCTTATCTTGTGACTCATACATTGTAGCATGTTTGTGTTTTAACTGCTTTTGCATACTGAAAGGCTCCATTAAAAGTAGTAGTATCTTAGCGCTGGTCTTATGCATACAACTGAATAAGCAAAAGTAAATGAAGCAGAACTCTTCAGTAGCATTATTTAAGATATTTATTTAATGTAAAAGTAAGTAAAAATGGCTTATAGAGCCTGTTTTACCTGTTGAACCGTGGGTCTGCATAGGCATCTGGGATATTTAAGACTTCCCCTGTCCGAGCCACTTGGCCAGCTATTCCCTTGTCTATAGAAAACCTACACACAAAGACAAGGAGATAGATAATCTGCATTTAAAGACAGTAATAAATCACCAATACGGAAATTAATTTAGGACATTTGCAGTCCAAATTGTAAACGATTGCAGATTTGAGAACAACAAAAAATCTGTGGCAGTAATAAACAATGTGTTACTGAACATGCCAAAAATAATTGAAATAGCTTGAATTTTTTTATGTGATTTCACTGTGTATTTATTTACTAATTTCCTTTCCTATTTACTGTTTTATTTATTAAAATAAATGTTAAAATAAATGAAAATTTAAATAAGACAAGTATTAAGAATTGTAAAAAGATACAGGTGTAAAAATGTTATTTGAAAATGAAAAAAATAAATTGGAAAAAAAATAAATATGCAAACAAATACATACATGTATACATACAAATGAAAAAATAAGCTATATGAATAAATGTAGGTATATGAAGTTCAAAACTTAAAGATGAAAATTCAAACAATTCTGCTTTTAACAGAATATGAACTCATTTATGTAATTAATGTTTCTTCTTTATTTTTTTTCAATTTAGCAGTTTAGATGCTGCAAAATAATACTCTACTATGCCATTTCTATTTTTCTACTGCATATACTTTTTATTACTTAAGCAGATTTTGTCACAGGAGGCCAGTAGAATATTTTAAAAGGTGCACTCTGAACATAGGATCAAAAAGTGAGTCATGTCTAAAAATAATAAAATCATCACACTGAGCACACTAAAGCAAAAAAAAAAGAAAAAGGTGTACATACCTAATTTCTTTGGTTTTCCTAAAGACAGGTTTGCCTTCTTTCTCTTCCCCAATGTCGAACAGGTCAGAGTATAGTTCTTTGTTATTGTGATCTACCTGGAAGAGTGCACACCTGTCTGCATTCACCAGGTTTTTTGCATATATCTGTAGAAAACAAAAAAACATCAGGGACAGAATCTTATTAACAACACTGGGGACTGACAAGAACTTGGGAGCTACATCTATCAAAGCAGATAAAACACTGCTGGTTTAAGTGATTCTGGACTGAACAGTTAAATGAGGAGAATTATAAAAAAGCAAAAACTACAAGTCATCCCCTCTTATTTTAGTGCTCGAACCAGATGACTTGAGTTTAGACCACAGTCACAAGGCAACCAAAAACATACAAAAAAAGAAGCAGGTTTTAGTAAAAGAAGCAGGAAAACCACATTTTACACTTGCCTGTTTTAGATGTACAAAATACCGTATTGATTTGGACTGAGCCAAGTCAATACATTTAGTTAGTATTACTATGTATGTAAAAATAATGTAACCACTTAATTAGTTAAGAATAATTATTATGAGCACGCTATTATTTTTAGAAAGTAATAGGAGTGAATCTGTGTTACTGCGGCATTGCTAGTCTTTTTAACAGACATGATTTAACACACACTCCCAGGATGTGTAGCCTTGAGGACAATGTGAATGAACACGTACTTGCAGAAATCACACTCACCATAATATGTTCAAGTAGAGAATCTATTGCCACAATGTTATCAAAGTATGTTCTGTGCGAAAAGAAGAAATGGCGCATTGAGATGTTTGACAAATGGGAAGCTCTGATGACGTTCACATTCAAGACATGAAAGCTAGGTTGCCTAAAATGTAGTAATCTCTTTTATCGTGTGGGCTACAAGTTTTATGTTATCACAGCCGTGCTGTGAGGACAAGATACTTATTAGACCAAACAATATTCACTTTGTGTATCAGTTATTTGGTGTTAGGGAAACTGTAACAGGAGCAGCTCTTACTTTGACACGTCTAGTAGGAAGTCGTTGAGCTCAGTCTGTTTGGCGAGGCCTCTGCACACCTAGCAACAAGGAAAAAGACGTCATGAGTGAGTACACAAACGCATCAAAAATTTCCCAGAGAATAGAGAGCAGCTAACCCAGGAGTGCAGCGCTGCATTGCTCACACAGGCTCAGAGGTCCATTGTGGCCAGAGCAGCAGTGGGACGCTGTTTCTCTGAGGTGTTATGCTATCTGTTCATATAAAAACAGGACTGGGGCATAATGACGTCCCTGGGGAGCTATTTGTTGAAACTACGGCTCAGTTGATTGGACTGGGCTCGGTGACAACTCAGTTCTTGTACACAGTGGATTTAACCATTAAAAACACAGGTGCAGAACCAGAACAAACAAAATCATTCGAGAACACACAGTAATAAGTGCAGCAGGTAGGATTCGCCTTTTCCCCTGACAAGTCTTCAGTGAGTTACTGTATACTGTATCTGTTACACACTCAGTTTTCAGTTCTGCTTCTCCAGAGGTTTGCTCACCTGCACTTGATGAATAGCAACTGATGCCCATGCTAAATTAGCTGTAGCAACCTGGAAAAGAAAGCAAGGCTTAGCTCCAAAGAACTGCAGTACAAATACTTTTGCAATTTACACATTAAGTCACACCGTGCAGGTTTAATCTGTACTTATCACATTTTCTCACTACGACACAATCTCAACGTAATTATCCGTTCTGCACATCAGGCAGTCTCATAATCACAGAAGAGCTAGTTACCCCACAAACTCCGCGCAACTCTGGGAACTCAGGCTCAAACCTGCTGCATCTCTATTGTATATTTGCATTTAAGCAATGAAATGAAAAATAAAAGCTGCAAGACAAGTTACGGAAAAGACCTTCACTGTCCACATGTGATTAAAAAGAGGACAACAACTCCTTAAAATAACAGCAGGACTTTGCAGGTTTAAAAAGCATGTCAGCGTTCAGCTCATTATTATGAGGTTTTGACTTGCACCTTCAGTGTTTTGCAGTAGTTTACACTGTACATTAATTCAATATGGCAAACCACTAAACACAATAGAACAATTAAAAACTAAAAAATGCCAAAAAAGAGCGTTATTAATGTGTAATAAGCAAATAGCTACCTGTTGATCCACTTTAAAGTAGATAAAAACAAACTGATGCATGTTTAAACTATGCTGACTTTTACAAGCTGTTCACATATCGATTATATCTACACGATGATGAGAAATGAAAAGAGCATTTTAAATGCTCTGCATTTTAAATTTGATTCTTTAAAGTGTATGCACCATGCCTACACCTGCTTCAACATTCTCTATATGTAAAGCCATTTTCCAGCTCAGTGCACTGTTGTTCACAGAAAGACTTTCATCTGGAGACAAATATACCCCTTTATATATTTTCCACAATAAAAATGAAGCCCACAAAGCTAACAGAGATCTCAAACAGATCCAGATTAAGGGTAATACCAGGCTAACTGTAGTTCTGTGAGCCTTGCTTCAGCCTCCCACTCTTGGTGTGTTTTGTCTGGGTCAGACTGACCTCCTGGTGGCTGAGGTTGAAGGGCTCCTTGCCCCAGTGCCGGTGAAGCTCCACGATGGCAATGAGGTCCCCGATGGCAGTGACGATGGGGAGGCACAGGACAGAGTGAACATGGATCCCTGAGTCCTGCCCTGTGCCGTCGGGGAATCTCTCGTCCTGCAACACAAAGACCAGCGAAGAACATTATCACCTGAACTGCACAGGGCGTATTAACTGATGAAGATTACAAAGAAACTCCTGTTTCTAAATCTGTTGCTATGAAAAGTACGCCACATGTGTCTCATGCGCTTGTTTTCTTAAGAATTTCACTTTGACACACACTCACAGAGACACACACACACACACAGACACACACCTTATAATAAACTTAAGGCTTCTTTAAAGCTGAACCTGATTTGTTTTGACTTTTAAACTTGAAGAGTTTCCACTACAGTGTGCCTGTGCTGATATTTCCCTGAATTCTGAAGCTTCTTCTTATGCCTCCTTTGAAATCTGTTCCCGTTCAAAGTGTGAAATCCCTCAAAAGAGGGATCATTTATTATGTGTAACTAAATGAAAATACTGGCAAAAGCATAACTGGATAACAAACTAAATGGCCCAATACATAAATACCCATCATTTGCCTAATGAAGCAGAAATATTGAAGGAAATGAGAAAAGAAAATGACGACAAATGAGGGAAAATAAACTGAGGCAACACAAAAGAAACATTTACAAAAATTAATGCAAAAGTACATTCACACAACAGCAACATCCAAATAAATCATAATAATTACTTAAAGAATGCCTACAATATTTTTAATATATTTGATCACTTAACAAAATATTAATTCATTAATTAGTATTGACTAATTTACCTTTTGTTTCATATATTTACTCCTGTTATGATTATTTTTAATATCTTTAGTTTGACAGTGTTGAGCACATTAACCCAATGAGACCAATAAGAAAGAATTATTTCATTATATGTTTATAGCCACATAAAGTAGTCAAACACTAGATGCACTGAAATGTTACACTGTTGATGGATGACAGCCACACATACCCCCATGACGTCCTCTACTAGCAGTGTTTTGCGAGTCTTGGCAACATGAGCGGCAATGGTTGTCCCAAATGCGATGGGGCCAGAGGGGATGAGGGATGGAGGGCCATCCTTGGCCGCCGTTGGAGAGAATAAACATAAACTCTGTTGAGAAGAACAGACAAGAACAGGAAGTGAAGCACAACTGGAGAAAAAAGGAACATATACACAGAGATGCATCAGTAAAAAAAAAAAAGAAGTCAGCACTCACATTGTTGCATTCTCCCAAGAAGTAAAGTGCAAATCCATCAGCTTTAGTTGCTGCAGGAAAAAATAAAATAAAATGAGACACATATGTGCAGAGCAAGTGACTAAAATACAATCTGGTCAAATCTGACGTTCACTGTCAGCCTATGCCTGCGAATGTGTAATCTATCTATTGTTATTCTGTTACTGGAGTATTATTTATTCCTACCGCTGTAATTCTGTGAATTTCCCACTATACCACTAATAAAGGCTATCTTATCTTATCTTATCTTATCTTATCTTTTTAAGTTTAAATATTTGCTTTAAAAAAACTCCTACCTTACCTACCTGAAATTATTCATAATTATGAAATACTGCTTTCTGTTGCATTGTCAACTTTGTTGACTAAATACTGTATTAGTTGGTGGTTCTGCCTGAACCCTAACTGACTGCCTGAAATAAAATTTTTAAAATGAAATAAAATAAAATAAATGGCACATATCAGCGAGAAAAATAAAGACAACAGAGAGAAAAAAACCCACCCGTTATAATCTAATACCAATCTATTAACAATGTCCTAGATAACTACAAGGGTACTCTGACCGAAAGCTTTGACTGCCATCCAGTGCATCTCATTCCCAGTTCTCCTTTCCAGTCCTATTTCACACAGATATATAGGTCATGTTATCATACAATGTGGAGTCAGAGAGCCTGGTGGTGCAGTCAGTGCGCAAGTGATCAAGCAGTTAATGAGAAATGAGGTTTGGATAAAGTGAACCTTTATACTCAGATTTATTATAAAAGTAGAACTTTGAATCACTGCTTATGAAATTCTCCCAGTCATTAAGATGGAGTCATAATATGAAACAGGAACAAATAATCCATCAATACTTTATGAACTGAGTCAATAAAATAAAAAAGAGTGATTGTTTTTAACCTTTTACATAACTCAATTTTCTGGTTCATTGGCCTGTAAGTGACAAACATGATTTGGTTTGCTTTGCTAATTTGCAAGTAATTCTTATCCTTACTTTTGTTTATTGGATCAGCATGTGGGTGGGGTTTACTAAAGTGGGTGTTAGAAAAGTACATGTGCACCAAATTTGATTTTAAACGGACAAAACTTCCTGCTGCATCTGAGCTTATCCTGCTCCTCCACTATTACAGTGCTGAAATGACACCCAGAGTATCTGAAGCCGCGCTCAACGAGAGAGGTTTTGCGAAAATCCACTTTTGGTTGATGTTTACTTTTACCTGTTTTGATGATGTTGCACAACTCATAGAGCAGGAGTTTATTGTCTCCTCCAGTGTCCAGGCGCTGCTCTATGTAGCTGTTGAGTTCGTACACCACACCCTGCATATTTGTGTCCTGGTACTGCTGGACACAAGACACAAAGAAATTGGATCTGTGCAGTCTTGCACAAACACTGAGATTGAATATCAAAATTCAGCAAGTGCAACGAGGCAGAAAAACCTGACAACAACCTTCATTCTCTACTGCATTCAGTCTAATGTAACTGCAGATTACTCCAGGTCAAATGACTTTTTTTTTCTGTTTCTCAGTGAAAGGGGATTAATGCCATTCACAAAGACAAAGCCATTCATCATAACATTACTCCCCGCCCCACCCTTAGACTCTAGCTCAGGGATCCCCCTGCAGTTTTGCAAGGAGGCCACCAGATCCCCACAGTTCTGATTAGAGCTCTGGCAAGCTGTGCTGGTCAGCCTCGGCTTAAAACTGCGGTTATGTAAGAGGCAAACCTCCCGGCTAGTACGGGGCAAGAGAGCGGTCTAGTTCTGCTCCTGCCGTGAGTGTGAGGACAGGACGGCAGGGAGAGTGGCGTACTAGAAACCCTTCCCCATGGGACGCCTTCTATCCTCCCACATCCTGTTTGCACAGACGTATGGGTGACGCACTGAGGGGCCAAGTGGACCTAATTTTTTCCCCCTTTTTTTCCCTGTGTGTGCATGTGTTAGTTCCTTCTCCTCAGCGTCATGGCCTCGCTGTGGGTGCTGACACCCGGTCTTCTGATGGTGTGAATGACAAAGGTGTGAACATGCAGTATGTGTAACAATAGCCATTGAACCTTTCTAACTTTCCCAACAACTGTGACACACATGATGCGTTTATGGTCCAACCATATGTTTTCTTATTCTTTATATTGATGTTATGCCTATGACAAAGTCATACAAAGGCACTAGACTAAATAAAGTAAGGACAAGGACAAACACAACTGTTTCAGTGTGTGCAGTTCTTAAATAGCATCAAGCCATTTTTACCGTTACAGAAGGACAATATTATGTTATAATATACACAATGTAATATATAAAATAAGATGATAAATAAAGCAAACACCTACCCTGCTGACTTCTTTAGAGGATGTGTCATCTGTAAAGAGAGAAAGTTAAAAATAAAGTTTAAAATAAATGACATGAATTTCAGTTCAATTCTATATTTACATAGCAACAACAACAGTTGCCTCAAGCAGTTTTATATTACAAGGTAAAGACCCTACAATAGACAGAAAACCTCAACAATCACAGGACCCCCATGAGCGAGTACCTGGTGACAGCGGAAAGGAAAAACTCCCTTTTAGGGATGACTCGAAAGTAGATTAAGATCTGGCCACTAACTAAGACATGAATAATCACATTCTGTGAAAACCTTTGCAAATTATTTTTAAGTTTATTAGTTTGGTTTTAATTTATTAAAATCCACATTAACTAAAACAATTTGCTACTAATTATTAAATAAAACAAAACCGAAAAATGTGAAAAAAAAACAGCTAAACGCAGATGTAAGTAGGTAAGTAAGTAATTACCTATTTCACAGATAAAAAAAACACAAGAAATTGATATATAAAACAATATAACAGTAAATAAAACAGCAATGTAAACAATAAAAAACAATAAAAACAATGTAAGAACAAATTAATCAAAAGCAGGAAGCAGTTGGTGATGAAGCGTGTGGTGAAGCGTTTCAGTTAAACAAAAGAAAACAAAAGAATAAAAAAAAAAGAAAAAAAAGAAAAAGAAAAAAAAGAAAAAGAAAAAAAAGAAGAAGAAAAAAAACTAACCGAAATTAATTTTGTCAACTCAAAAAACTAATGTCCTTAGTTTTAGTCTTGTCAGTTTGGTAAAGTTTGTCAGCATAAATGCCCAGGATAAGATGAAAAATGAAAAACCAATTAGAAAATACAAAATTACAACACTTTAACCAGCATCACCACCTTTTCTGTTAGGGAATGCCCAGGCAATGCATTCAGCAGGCAGCGGCCTCCACACACTTGACTGTTGTGTTGTGATTATTCACCCAGCAACAATATGATCACTGATAAACCTGCCAAATCTCAGCCTAAGGAAGAATCGCTACAGAAATTCAAGCTTTGCTCATAAAATCCAAAGCTCCTAAAACATTAAAGGACTCTTGTACATTTGCTGTTGTTACATTGTGATACTGAAAATTTTGGTATCAATCCAATATCAAGTAAAATCACTGATACTTTTGGGTTAGCTTATGTAGGGCAGTGTGTCATACTTGATGATACGTGATGAATCATCATTAATTTGCAAATTCTGAACACATTTTAATGACCACTAAATCATAGTGGTTTTTACGTCGCACAATAATCAGTTAACAAAACAAAACACACCTTTCAGTATGGGTTTTTTTGGAGAGCTGGAATGCAAAAGCTCTGGAGTCTCTAAAGCACTTTGGTTCAACTTCCGTGTTTAATTTCAATTTTGACTTTTTTTTGCCATGATGCCAGGTCTCTCTTGAAAATGAGATTTTTAATCTCAATGAGATTTTTTTACCTGGATAAATAAAGGACTAATAAAATAATAATAATAAAAAAAATCAGTTTTATTTATACAGTGCAAAATCATAACAATTATTTTCTCACGGTGTTTTATATATTGTAAAGACCCTACAATCATACAGAGAAATCAGGGAAAACCCCAACAATCGAATGACCCCCTATGAGCAAGCGCTTTGGTGATAGCGGGAAGGAAAAACTTCCTATTAACAGGAAGAAACCCCTGGCAGAACCAGGCGGCCATCTGCCGCGACTGGTTGTGAGGGGAGGAAGACAGGACAAAGACACGCTGTGAAGAAGAGCCACGGATTAAGTCAGATGATGCCACTTTTGTAAGAGGAACTTCAAAATGTTTTTAATTGTTACAAAGTCTGAGTAACTGTGTAGATGTGAAGGCAGTCATTGTTTTTTTGGATTAAAACCTTGAAAATCGACAGTCAGAGAGTCATAAATCTTCCCTGGCTGTTTAAACACTGGATGGATGGATACTCAGCTGTGGACTGATGGATCACAACAGGCCAACATCACGAGCAGCAAATAAGAAAAAACATATGCTGTCCTCAGAATAGTCGTCAGGTGAACAAATACGAACGATGGCGTATTTAAAGCATCAATACTCATTATCTATAAGTAATGGATGAATATTTTATCTACTTAATGCAGGGAGGTATTTATTTATATGACGTTCCTTTAAAAACAAAATTAGGAGAGATAGTTGTTTAAGTTGACGAGTGCAAAACTTTGTGGCTTCATGTGCAGATTCCTGGTGTAATTTATGGCTGCTGGGGAGACATATGACTATTGTCTTTGGATGTAGACACTGAAGTATGTGATAATTATGAAAGCTTCAGCCAATCATAACAGTTTCTGGACTCATAATCTGGGAGTGGGTCTGGGAGTGCTACTTGGGCTGAAAATAAAACCATTCACACAGCTCAAGTGATTCTTCGGTACACGTGGGTCAACAGCACACGAGAACATAAACCGCAGAGATCTCTTTGATAACTTTTCATGTGATCAAAACCACGCAAAGAGCTGGGCAAATTTTAGAAACATCCACTGAAGTGCTGACTCGAGCTGGCCACCCTTTGAAACGAGCCTCTTTGAACATGTGAAGAAAGGAATTGCAGCCGGCTACATTGTTTGTTGTTTTAAACATTCCTGCAGTATGCTATGAGTTTCCTAACTTAGCCATGAGACCTATTTTAGAGTGAACCGCTGGCCGCTGACGTCAATCAGACGACAGAAAGTTGCACTTGAAAAAGACTTCAAGCCCCACTGAAAAAAAAACTTTTTTAAAAATGACTTGTTGAGGCCTAAAATAATCAGACACTAATCCCTTTAAAGGGCAGCTATGACAGTATTACTGGTTTAAAAAGTGGTCTAGATTTTTTACAGCAGTTCAGAGCAGCCATATTAACACAAACACTGATGCATGACAGTTTTCTTTCTGACTTTGATTCCACTTCCCTCATAGAGAGACGGGTCACTGCACAAAAAACAGTGTCACTCTTTAAAATCTTATCCAAAGGGCACCAAGGCTCTCTAAACCAATGAAAATGATTTGAATCATTTGAATTGCATGCGATATGATTCAGTGTGGGACAGGATCTGTGTGGTATGCGAAAATTCTAACGCAATTAAAGATGCTTGAGAAAGAGGGCTGTGTAAATAAACCTAAATTAATTACAAAAAACAAACAAAGAAAAAACCCATCTATGCAAATACAACTCAGGAAATTGCAATTCTCACTGCTATTTGGCTCGTAACTTATGTCATTTTTCGCCTTGTCGTTTGTTCAGCACATGAGCAGCGGCTTTTTCTTCCTCCGTGACCCCCCCTCACAGTGCTGCCCCTTGCATCACCTCTCTCTCCTCACCCACGGCAACAAGGTTCACTAGAGGGTGGTGAGGCGTGGGAAACGGCACTTTAGAAAAGGCTCTGTTTGACGGGTGATGCTGCTCCAGGAGACGCGTGGATCATTTTATTCTGCTCCCACTGCGGTGGATTTGTGTGCTCAGTGATATTTATCTCTTTGTCTGTCTGTCAGTAAGAGTATAAAGAAAAAACAAAACAAAACTACAAAGCCAGGGGTGGAGCATGGGAACAAAAGGCTTTCATTGCATATTTAGATTGGTTTATTCAAAACAGAAACATAGAGCATTGGCCTTGGTGGAGGATCCCCATAAAGTCAGTTGCGCCACTTATCCAGCAATGCCAAAAACATAAGAATGGACCAGAATAAAAATTCATATCAGGAAAATATTACACTGATGGGAAGATTTTATAATGGTATTTACAACGAACAAACAAAAATACTTTTTAAACCAACAAAACTAATTGACCAGGTTCTTCTACATAAAAATATAAGTCATTCTGTCAGCTTCACAGGAACACATCCTAAATATCCCTCCTAAAAAAGTCAAACTGTGACCAGACAATGTTCATTACAGGTCTAGTTACTGTACAGACACAAAATCTCAGTTAGCATTTTATTAGCAGAACTCTGTGTGTCTGCACACCACAAAATGTCTAAGGAGCTAAAAATGAACAGGAATAGGTTGTAGTTGTGGGATAAACACTGTTGAGGTGAAAAGTAGAACAGTTCTATGCCTGGAAACTATAGAGTTACAAAAGCCCTTTAAATCTGTTGTGCTGAACCAGTTTTGCCCAGCTGGAACAGTTCCAGCAGCTTCTTTTAAAGTTTGCATGCAGGGTCATGCACACATTCAGCAGGTGCAGGTGCAGGTCCAGCATGGCTCTCACATAACTGTCTTTCCTAGAAACCAGAAAATATCTTGTCTTACCTCCTAGCTTAGCTCTTTGGCTTTTTTTGTGTGTGTGTGAGAAGACATATGCTGCTTTGTTCTGCATGACCACCAGCACCAAAAACAAAAGACTAAACTGAAATGTTACAGATATAAGATCTTTGTTTCATCACACATGTGTCATGGGATTATAACAGAGCTATCCCTGGGGTAGACATTCGCTTTAGTCGTGTTTGCGCGTGTGTAACTGTGATTTTTATCACCGGGCCAGCCATCAGCGCTGGGACAAAAACCAGCCGTCTGTTAATACCTTCCCTTATTTTCAGGAACCTGCTGTGATTTCAGTAAACACACCAGGAGAGTGCTGACATGTTCTTAGAAAATATACTGCCAGCACACTCGACAGTGAACACTAAACACAACTGTCGAGCAACTCCTGAACGCTGCAGAGGCTGAACTCACTTCTTTTAGAAACTTCATCACACCATTTAAACTCCCCCCCCCCC